TTGCAGTGCCTATGGCCACAGAAGTGCCACCAAGGAAACTAAATCCAACCTAAGACTAGACCACCAACCAATGCAACCTTTTAAAACTCCTGTGGGCTATAGTGGGCACCCATGCATGTGCCCACTGGAAAAACAGACATAGAGCCGCACTTATTGAGGTCAAAATGTTTATTAAGGTTATGGGGGTGACAAGGTGGTGGGGGTGCTTATTGAGCAGGATGTTGTGCTTGCTGCTGGTGCCAAAAGAACTCCACTAATGCTTCCCTGGTTGCTTCTCCCTCTACCTTTTCCTGATCGGCATTAAGGAGGATTGGGTCACAGTATCCAATGTATAGGTTAATGGTTGGGGAGGGCGACAGGTCAGTACCTCACTGTCCATCTCCACTATGTTGTGTAATATCACACATGCAGTAATCATAGAGTTCACATTTTCCTCTGCCACCTCCAAGGGGGCTGTGAGGCACCTCCATCAAGTCTTCAGCTGGCCAAAAGCCCTCTCAACCATATTTCTGACCTTGTTGAGATGCTTGTTGTACACTGCCTGGTGAGGAAGCAGCACACCTTTGAATGCTGTCATGGCCCATGTCCTAATAGGATAGGCAGCATCAGCCACCAGTAGTGGTCCTATTTGTTGCCCAGAAATTGTCACAGTGGGGTCGCCACAAATGTATAAAACAGCCCTTAAAGCATTATAAATGCCAGAGTGCTGAAATACAAATGTGTCATGATTTGATCCCGCCTAGCCCACAAGAATGTCTATGAAATGTCCAGTATGGTCACAAGCCCCTTGGAGGAGCATGGAGTATCTATGTTTCCTGTTGATAAACTGTCCACCCTGATGCATCGGAGCAATGATTTCACAATGGCAGCCATCCACAGCACCAATCACCTGTGGGAACCCTATCGCCTCAAAGCCAGCCATCAACTGTAGGGACATTAGAAATGTAGAAGTGGCAATAAGTAATGTGCAGAGTAAAGCAAAAAATACAAAGTAACACAAACATACAAATATAGATACAGATTAAAAAGTACAGTTGTTCCTCTGAATTCACAGGGGATCCATTTCGGACCCCCCACAAATTCAAAATTTCATGAATATTCAAGTCCCATTGTCCTCAACTGCAGCACCATTGGGAACAATGGGACTTGAGTATTTCCTTCCCTGCCTCCCTCCTCACCTCCTTCTTTCCCCCAGGGAAGGCCGGCGTGGTGGAAAAATGGCTGCACCAGCTGCCTCAAGGCCTCCGGGGCTGAGGCAAGGCCAGAGCAGCCACCTCAAGTCCTTCAGGGCCAAGGCAAGGCTGTGCCGGCCTCCTCAAAGCCATGCAGCCAAGGAAAGGCCAGCACAGAAAGAAGGACCTAAGGACAGAGGGCGGGTGCTGCAGGCTTGCCATTTGCGAGTAGTCAAAATTGTGAATGGCAAGTCTGCAAATCTGGAGGGACAACTGTAATACAAAGACATCAGCTGCAGACACACACCTTTCTATGGTCTCTAAGATAAACAGTTTTCCGCAGCAGTGCCAACTCTATGGCAAGTACAACTTGGACAAAAAACATTGCAGACTGTGGACTTCCCAAAACTGAAATGGGTAGCAGCCATTGAATAGGAACCTTTGTTTGCCAGCAACCACACAGCAATGGCAACTCGTTTCTCCACCAAAATAGCCTGATGTAGACGGGTGTCCTGTGATGTAATATATGTCCGCAGTTTTTCCAAGAATCATATAGAAAAGTCTTTGTGACATACAGAACTTCTCCTTCTACTTTTCATCAGACCACACAGTAGTGATAAAAGTGCTCCAAATTTCCTGTGTTGGAGTATACCCACCACCTCCTGGGTATAGGCTCATAAAAGCACTCCATAGTGCGGTCAAATTGTATTGCCCATCCACATTGAAAAAAGAGAATATGCATTGCACTCTCTTTCTGTGGTGGACATGTTGCCGTCTTGCACTTCTCACACACAAGGGTGTCCCCAAAGCAGCAAGTCTTAGCTGACAGGCATCCCTCATCTTGAGGCAGATGCGGAAAGTGTGTCACAAACATGAAGACCTGTTTTTTTAAAACCGCTAAGAACATGGGATCCATGATCCTTGCTGGCAAACCATGAGGCAATGTGACCTAATATGGCAACAAAAGGTGCGAGAGGTCACACCTCTGACTGCTAGTGGAACTGGAAATACATACATACACATCATATGATTGGCATTTTAAAAAAAAAGAACTCAAAAGGATTGAACATGTCCGAGAGATCGAGAATTCATTTTGTTCCGTTTCATTGATCCATGCCATGGGGGAACTGCACCCATAGATCAATGCATGCACGTCCCCCTCCACTGCGCCCATGATAGAACTCACTGCACATGAACGCTGTGATAGTGCACAGGAGCTGTAAAAGTTTTTTTAAAAAACACACCACACCATGCCCACCCCAAGGAACCCCCCTCGACTTCCCCGACCTCCGACCCACAGGGAAAAGGGAACCAATGCACTGGCAGAAGTGGAAAAAAGCTGCATAGTGATTTAAAGGGTCCACTTTGACAGCACGGGAACTTTAAAATTACTAGGAGCCCCATGGAACCACTGCAAGTGCTGAGAGAAAAAAAGGCAGTTTGGCAAAACCTTTGGGGTGGGTATACTCCACCCCTCTGCCCACCCTCTGCCCATTACCCCTCCCTCCCTCCCTCCCTCCCTCCCGGGTGCCAGCTCTGATCGCCATTGAAATGTGAACTTTAATGCGAACACAGACAGATTCGATGGCAAACATAGTATGAACATCACTTTGGTTTTGAATCGCTTCATCGATTAGAAACGACCGACTTAAAAAACCTAAGTGTGAAGGAGCCCTCAGCGTGTGCGACTTGCCCAGTGGATTTCCATGGTGGATCAGGGATTCGAACCCTGGTCTCCAGAGTTGTAGTCCAACACTTAAACCAGTACACCACTCTCCCTGTCTTCACTATACTGCTGAATAAATAAAGCTTGGGAGGCAACCAGGGTCCTATCACTCTACACATTTATAGCACTATGATTCTCCTTTAACTGCCATGGTTTCATCATATAGATTCCTGGGGTTTTTGGTGGATTGAGATACTGGGACAACTCTCCGGCTGATATGTCTTAGTGCCCCTCCCTAAACTGCAAATCCTAGGATTCCATAGTATGTTGTCATGGCAGCTAAAGTGCCATTATAGCATTGTAACTGTGCAGTATGAAAGGGCCCCAGGAGTGGATATGTGTGTGGAAGGGCCATGAGCTGTATTCAGTGCCTGTGCTCTTGGCTTAGAAATCTTAATCTATTTGTATTTTTTGCCTCAATGGATAGATCTTGGGACTGTAATGAACAAAGATCCTTCAAGTTTAATACCTGTACAGTCCTGAAATAGCAGATGGTGGAGACGGAGAAGTTGGGTTGTGTTATTTAATATTTACATGAAGCCGCTGGGTGAGATCATTCGGAGGC